TCCGCACAAAGCTCGGTGGAAGAAGTAGGCGCTCATGCAGTCGCTGCGGAGCGGTCAGGGCCGCCCAAATATTGTGATGAAGCTAGAGACTGGCATTGCCTTGCACGAGGCCAAGTGGCATGATATCCAGCACTATGAGCAGACTTCGAACGCCGAGTGGGATGTGCGAGGTCTGCTGCTACTGCATGCCGGCCCAGACTCCTCCTCCTCCTCCTCCTCCTCCTCCTCCTCCTCAACCTCGTCCTCCTCCTCCTCCTCCTCGTCCTCCTCCTCCTCCTCCTCGTCCTCCTCCTCCTCCTCCTGCTCTTCCCCGGCATCCTCCACCCTCCTCGCCCTCCGACTGCCTCCCGCAGACCTGGCGAACACAACGGCACCGCGTGGGCTTCCAGCAACGAGGTGACCAAAGCCCAGCGCACCGTCTCGAGCCTACCTGTTCACGCCTCTGGCTCCATTCTTGCCCCTTCGAAAGAACTCCGCCCTGTTGCAGCCCGAGGCCAATTGAGAGGGCCGGGCTGGACGTTTCGCCTGATACTTGCTCACCATGTATGACATCTGAGACAGTTTCACAGAGCGGGCGTATCGATTTCATTATCCCAGTGCGACCCTACCTAGAAGTTGGAGCCCCTAGGAAAGCAGCATTAGTAGTAACAGTAAAGCTAAGCTAAAGCTAAGCTGAAGATGAGCTAGATTGAAGCTAAAGCTAAGCTAAAGCTAAGCTAAAGCTAAGCTGACGCTAAGCCAAAGCTAAGCTAAAGCTAAGTTCAAGCTAAGCTCAAGCTAAAACTAAGCTAGAGCTGAGCTGAAGCTAAGCTGAAGCTACGCTGAAGCTAAGCTCAATCTAAGATGAAGCTAAGCTGAAGCTAAGCTACAGCTAAGCTAAAGCTAAGCTAGAGCTAAGCTAAAGCTAAGCTAAAGCTAAGCCAAAGCTAAGCTAAAGCTAATCTAAGACTAATACTGAGCTGAAGCTAAGCTGAAGCTAAGCTGAAGCTAAGCTAAAGCTAAGCTCAAGCTAAGCTCAAGCTAAGCTCCATATAAGCTAACTCTAAGGTAAAGTTAAGCGAAAGCTAAGCCAAAGGTAAGCTAAAGCTAAGGTAACGCTAAGGTAAAGCTAAGGCAAAGCTAAGATAAAGCTAAGCTAAAGCTAAGATAAAGCTAAGCTAAAGCTAAGCTAAAGCTAAGGTAAAGCTAAGGTAAAGCTAAGGTAAAGCTAAGCTAAAGCTAAGCTAAAGCTAAGCTAAAGCTAAGCTAAAGCTAAGCTAAAGCTAAGCTAAAGCTAAGCTAAAGCTAAAGCTAAGCTAAAGCTAAAGCTAAAGCTAACACTAAGCTAAAGCTAAAGCTAAATCTCCCAGGGGACTGGGGGAACCGCGGGGCGGATGCCGGGGGAACCGCCCAGGGCGTTATCCACTGCCCGGCCCCTTTAAGCACAGAGGGAAAGAACCCTTCCAGGCAGAGCCTAGGTAGGGAAAAATGTGGCTCTCTCCTTAGCGCCGCGCACACTCGACTTGAGGGCGGGTCATTTTCAAAATGTGGCTCTCGCAGTAGCTCCGCGCACATTCTTGATGAACATTCGCAAGAATGTAACGGATTGAGGGCGGGTGGTTTTCAACATGTGGCTCTCGCCTTAGCGCCGCGCACATCCGTTCCAACAAATACACGAATTTCACGAATTTGCCAGACATTGTGCTTTAGAAGGACTCAGGAATGTGAGGGCGCAACGGTTACCTTGAGCTGAGCTGTTGAAGTCCCAGAAAATGCGTTCTGGTGCGATCCAAGATACTCAAGACACAAGAATCATGTTGTGTCATGGCGTTGGAGCCCCGAGAATGATGTTTGGGCTGGCTTGGTCTTTGAGCGGTTGTCTCCCAACGAGGCAGTTCCCTGTGGAGATGAACCCTTCAGAGGCCTATGAAGAGGGAGCTTGCAGGGAGGGGTTATTCCAACATCATTTATGATAGATTATTGAGTTTACACTGGTTCTTCTCATCCTTCTCCTTCTCACTCGTGCACCCTCTTCTTCCTGGAAGTGGGGGGCAGGTAGCGGAATGGAGAGGGGGACCGGGGCTGGGCTGAAGGTTGGGGAAACGGGGGAGGAGGAGCCAGGAGAAGCGCCAGGAGGGCGAGGGAGCGGAGGAAAGAAGGTGATGGGGAGTAGGGTGGAGGGCAGGGTGAGGCAGGAGGAGAGGGGCGGGAGGCGGGAGGCGAGAGGGGGGAAGGGAGGAGGGAGGGAGGGGGAGGCAGAAGGGCTGGAGATTAGGCGGCAGCGGTGGCGAACTGGTGACGGTGCATGGGAGGAGGGAGGGAGGACGGATGACGGAGGGGGGAGTGGGGAGGGAAGGCGGGACGAAGGGTCAAAGATGCGATGGTAGGAAAACAAAGAGCATGAGGAAAATGAACGGGGTGTGGGAATGCCTCTGTGGGGAAGGGAGGAGGTAGGGAGAGAGGGAGGAGGCTACCGAGAGAGGGAAGGGAGGAAAGGTTCCAGGAGGACCAGGATTGAAGCAAGCGAAGGAAGATGACGGATAAAAGAAACGGAGGCAAGGATGGAAAGTAGCAGCTGAGCAAAGGGTGCAGCATTGTCCAGCAGACGGGGCTTCTTCATCGAAACCAGCGTGCCGAACTTGGAATTGTTGTCCTCCACTGTGCTGCAAACAAGCGACGTCACCGAGAACGAGGACTAGAAAGCTGCATGGAGCAGCAGCGTGCAACCAGCAAGATCGTATCACCAGCGTCTGCAACATCTCGGACCTGGGACACAACGGTGGAAAGAAGTGGGTTGCTGGATATTCCCAGATACCCGATGTCTTCCTGCTCGCTCTGCTCACCCCCTCTGCCCTCGAGTGGGATGACGCGGCTCCTCGGCCTTCTCCCTGGGCGCGTCCCAGCCAGGAGTCTGAGGCGAACTGGTGCAACCCCCGCACGAGAGGCCCGAAAAAGCGAGGACGAGAGGAGGGCATCTAGACCTCCCAGTCCGAGTAGCTGGGGTCGGGGGATCAACCAGCATCGCCGAATCATCGGTGATTCATTGGCGACGTCGACATTGCATCGGGGCGATCGGCATGGAACATCGGGCTTCACATCGAGCCGATACACTGGCGATGCGGCGCGATCCTCCGACTCCATCTACTCGGACCAAATATGTGAGGCCTGGAGCATCGGTGCGGGTGTTACTCGTCTGATGGGTGGCGTCGGCATCGGTTATTCCTGCTGGGTGCCGTACCCAGGCCGCCGACCTGAGCATCGTTTAATCAATCAGCATTCCCACTGGCATAGCCTTGGCAACACTGACGGAGTTGCCCCCCTGTTGGGATACATGCTGATCACGTCGGGTTTCGCCAGACCTGTCCCCACCCAGGCAGTTGATCTGGTGGAGATCTCATGGCCGAACGAGGATGGGGATCGGCTGGACGATGCTGACGACCCTCCCAGCCGCGCACACGAACCGACGGCCGGCGCGCAGAGAGAGAGAGAGAGACAGAAAGATAGAGAGAGAGAGAGAGAGAGACAGAGAAAGAGAGAGAGAGAGAGCACCGCGGACGAAAGGCCCCCAAGGGAGAACGGCACGCATTCGCGCGAGCCACACGGTGGTCCTCCAGGATGAAGCTGCCCTCGCTGAAGCGAATCGTGGCATGGCATCGTGATGTCGACACCTGAGGCTGCCAGAGACACGAGAGGAGTCGGTGCGGTGGTGCCGAGGACGTCCAGGAATCCCCCTCCTCCTCCTCCTCCTTCTCCTCCTCCTCCTCCTCCTCCTCCTCCTCGCTCCACGCTCCTCCTCCTCCTCTCTCCTCCTCCTCCTCCTCCTCCTCCTCCTCCTCCTCCTCCTCCTCCTCGCTCCTCCTCCTCGCTCCGCCTCCTCCTCGCTCATCCTCCTCCTTCTCCTCGCTCCTCCTCGCTCCTGCTCGCTCAACACAGGCCGGCGGGAGCGATAACACGCCTGGGCCTAGGCGTGAGGGCCACACTGGATGGATGAGCAGGCTGGCCTGGACGACCCGCCGAAGCGCCCAACACCCAAAGGCCAGGGGACGGCACACGCCTGTCCTGCCCGAAACGGAGAGACGCAGCTCGTCTTCCTCGCCTCACGCCTGCCACCACCATTGCAAAGGCTCGTGCTCCGACGACCTCGCCCACTGCTCCTCATTCGGTGACCACTTGGATGTTCCTCCTTGGACGCCCGGAATGGCTACGGAAAACTCGGTGCAATGCCCAACAACAAATGTTGTCCGAAACTGGCACCGGCCGCTGTGAGCCAGGCGGCCGTCTGTCTAAAATGGACAACGTCTGCGGCGACACTGGCAACGAGTCCTGTCCCACATGGACAAGAAATGCTGGTGGGCACGGTACCAATCCTTTCCGTACCCTTTTCGTTCGCGCCGATCCTCGGCGACTGGAGCTGTCTTCCTGGCGGCGCGCACACGGGGGTAGGGGGAGGGGGTGAGGCTTGGTCGCGCAGGATAAAGCAGGCGTGGCACTCTCTCGATACCATAGGGGGTGCGAAGGAGGGTGGTCTCCGAGCGCGGCCGCTATGCACGCTGGTCGCGCAGGGAACAGCAGGCGTGGCACTTTGACGATAACATAGGGGGTGTGAAGGAGGGTGGTCTCTGCGCGCTGCCGCTATGCACGCTGGTGGTGCAGGGCACAGCAGGCGTGGCACTTTCTCGACACCATCGGGGGTGCGAAGGAGGGTGGTCTCTGTGCGCTGCCGCTATGCACGCTGGTGGTGCAGGGAACAGCAGGCGTGGCACTTTCTCGACACCATCGGGGGTGCGCAGGGGGGTGGTCTCTGTGCGCGGCCGCTATGCACGCCGGTCGTGCAGGGCACAGCAGGCGTGGCACTTTCTCGACACCATAGGGGGTGCGCAGGGGATGGTCTCTGAGCGCGGCCACTATGCACATCTACATCTGAGGCCCACGCCTTCTGAGAATCAGGGGTGCTCCGAAGAAGCCTTCCCCCCTCCCCCCATACCCCCCTCTGAGCGTGGCCGGTCTGCCCTCCCCAGGAT